TTACTCTCGCTTCTCGCCTTTTCCTCGCCTTTTTTAGATTGTATACTTCAAGCTGGTGATAGTTGCAGTTACGTCAATTAATGATGTTAACAAAGCTGCAACTGGGCGTGCCTGGCAAGCCATCTTTTAGATTCAAGTTACCTAGCAGCTATATATAGTATACAATTTGTTCGTAATGCCTTGAAGCCAGAAAATATAGTATCATTTTAGGCGTAAGTGATCCAGATAAGTTAAAATCACAGACATGTTCATTATTTTATGGTCTTTCCAGACATGCCGAAAGGTATGAATCAACTAAATCATCTACAATATGATAATATAGATTTTTAGAGTAAAATTAGTATTAAAAATACATAACAGCAATGCCAAAGTATATGTCATCGAGTTCTTTTCCATCATTTTATTGTAACATACTGGTCTGGGAAATTTAAGGTCAGAGTTGATCATTTAGGGGGGTTGATTTAGGCCTCGATTATGTGTAAATAATCTTCAAGTACTTGAACTGTATGAATATCGCTTCATTCTTTCAAAAATACTTTAAACTAGGAATTTTGCATTTTATTTTTTTTCTTTCACTGGTTTATCAACTGCCTGCAAATGAGGGTATCCAAAAATACCTCTGGTGGTAAGGTCTGTAATAAGAAATACTGTGTACGAATATCTTTTGATTTTCTAGTCCTTTACGGATCTCCAACATGGCTGAATTAAGAAAAAGACGACTCGTCAATTTTATTTTCAAACACGGATAATTAATGATATAACTGGCTAAAAAACTAACATTTCGACATTTCATTACTGATAAGCTTAGCTGAACAATTCCCGTTTCTGAGACCAAGGTACGATTGACCTTTACAAAAGGTGAACCATGCCTTTGAATTCAGTCAACTCAACTCAATAGAAGCATTTCCTATGTTTTATATGTCCCTAAAATATTATTAAAACGTCATTTTCAGAATGAATATTAGACGGCTAGGGGGCCTAAACATAATGGTTTATGCGATGTTTGCTCTGCCTTATCCAATTGCAGTTGAACCCGTCGCCGTTTATTCATTCTGACATGTGATAATGGTGAGATATAACCTCTCAAATTAAAAAGTTCCTATTTTACAAGAGAATTCAATAAATTAAATTGGCTGAAATGAGTAGCTCAGATGATGATCGGCTGTAGACATATATGATTATCAAAGAATATTATATTGTTTAAACAATAGAGCAGTAGTATCATTAACATTGCCTGAATAGGAGCTAGTAATCGTTATGAAATTCCACGTTAACTTAACTACATGTTGGCTACATACGATTCTATTGGATATTCCATCGACACAATACACCATTTTAACCCACCCCACTACATTTTCTGTATAAAAGGTGCAGATATTTTTGCAGTTTTTACAGTTAATTTAAAAGTCTTGGACTTAATTCTGTAAAACAAATGTTTCTGATGCCTACCTGTTTCCATTCTTCCGAGTATCGCCTGAAAGTTGCTCCAAAAAAAGTGTTGGTCCATTCTGGAATATCATCATCTTCTTTCAATAATTTGCTCTTGGATTTTGTTTCTCGTAGTTGAATTTCTGTGGGTGTCGAATTGCTCTCGTCTCGTCGAAATACACCATTGCTTGTGGATAAACCTTCGCCAAAAGAATTCTGCCATTGTTTCCCAGCAGATCGAGTCTCTTGATCATTCAGGGAATAATTCCATGGCGAATCGTGGGTTGAATTATAAACACCAGACATATTGAATATTGCGATATAAGTCTTACATATTATAACGTTAATCTTTCAGCATATCGCATAATATTATTTAAATACAAGATATCATACTATTATACCTCCAAGAAGAAATTGAATACCCTATCCTTTGGCTAAAAAATACTAACATAAATCATATGATATGTAGAGTTTTGTATACACGTCTTCTTAGTAGTTATTTAAAGTGGTAGGTGTGTCCACAGGATATATTGAAACATAGACAATATCTATACATTGATGTTATTTAAATATTTGAAAGACATGTAATCATATATATTTGAGGAATGAGGAAGTTATGGCAGATCTTTAATGTGTTAATGTAGCCGGCTGACTTTCTGATTATATTTTCGGGGTCAAATTAACAACCTTTTGGAAGCATTTAGCCCGATTTACATATCAATTATCAATGGTTTTCATTAAAGCAGCAAATAAGTCACTTAATTCTACTCTTGAACGACTTCTTAATGCCTGAGACTACATAATATGAGGTTGTTAGAAGGGGTCGTACACAATAGAATTGTTTTGTAGCTGGAGACCATACTCAAAGGTTTACCACCCCTAAGGATGACCAAAAAATTGATTTTTTAAACTTGACCAAAATAAGTCTTTATTCATCGGTGGACTTACCTTGTGTCAAAACTATAAGTCAAATTCCTCTATAATCCAATTTTATACTTTTGTCATGGCACCTGGCAAGCCCAACTGATGAATATATATGCCCAAGTTTGAGACTTTAAATTTTATGTCTATTTTAAGTGGTAGTTGTCCTAACCCAAGACATAAAACCATAGTTTGCGATCATGCAATTCATTTTTGTTCATGATGACACGGGCCGTGGCTACGCTCTTTAATTATGACCAAGCGCGATGACAATGTGTTCATGTTTGAATTTCATGATGATTTGATGAACTGTTTCAGGTTTTTGCCTTGACTTATAGATGATTTAGATGATATATGATGATATAGATTATTTGAAAATTCACTATTAAGCTACAAAAGATTTTGTTATCATTTCTGACAACTGGTAGTGGGTGTATGTTACCTTGCCCGGCAAGCTATCTTCACATACTGAAAAAAAAAGATTTTTTTTTGTTTTTGACTAACCATAGTAACCCAGCAACCTCATGAAAAAATACATTTTAATGGATGTATTATAAAAATTCAATCAAGCGGGTATCAAAGTATTCAAAAACTTCCCTGTTTAGTATGACACACATAACATGTAGCTCACCCATTCGTTGATAATTTTATACTTTTTTATTATGGAAAGTCAGTGTCACCTTAAAGAAAGATAGTGTAAAATTGTCAATACATTAAAACTTTGGAAATGAGCTGAATTCATTAGAGACACAATATGAGAAAAATCATCGGTGAAATATGAAAAAATTTTGAAAATCTTTTAGAGCGAAAAATTTAAAAAAATAAATAGCCTCAGGAACATTGTAAAATATCGTAAATTTCGGACTCTTTCGAGAATTCCAAAAACAAAACTTATCTTTATCCAAGTCAGACCCAGAGTGCTAAAATTTAAGGATGTAGGCCGGCCAAATGCCAAGCTTCAAACAAATCGTATGAAAACGTTATTTTAACAAGTATTTACTGCGTCAAGGGCAATAAGTCAATTCCGAACCTAGTCAACTTGGGAGTATAAAATTTCGACTCGTCTTCATTAAATGTATAACAGAGGAAGAAGTGACGATAAATGATTAAATAAATGATGATTTTGGTAGGCCTGATAAAGTTTTATGATAATTCATATTGATGCAGATAAGATTTCAATTTCAATTATTTCTTGCTTTAATAAGATTGCCTTCACGTCTTTCTTATATCGCAGGCCAATCTAAAGCGTGATACAGATAGCGGAAATGATATTTTCTAAATTTCGTCGAAGGGATAGAACCCGTTTATTAAAGTGAAATGATATATATCTGCATTTCCATAGACCACAATTAGATTTAGTGACTACTTTATGGTTCGTGCCAACAGTCCTCATAAAATGGATCTATTCCATAATATATATGATAATAATAATATTCTGTTAATGATGAATTTGAAATAATAATTATTATATCATGGAACAAGTTTTTATAGCTGATCGCACAAGAAAAGCAGAATCTCCCAAGGATCGTGGTACAAGCCTAAAACACTCGATCGTTGGGGACAATAATGACCACAGCACGATATCTGACGATTCCTATATGCTCATATCACTCTTACGAGCCAATCTTCCTCTGCCATAGCATCACAGTTAGGGAAGTTAGGGACGCCTTTCCGATGTGACAGGGGTATAAGTTATGCTTCTCTTGAAATGTTAATTTTGTACTTTCAGTCTTATCAGTTGAACCATGACCATACATTTGTTTAGAAAATATACGAGGTGTGGCCATGAAATCCTTTATCATAATATTCGATATTCAATGTTGCCAATGTTAAAGGATGTTTTGAACTTATATTAGAACCTATGCTCTCGTTATTCATTGACGTTGTCGTGTTTGGTGATAAAATAGTCAATTAACACACGACATGCCATAGTATTATGACTATTCGTCCAATTTTTCACTTTCCCCTGTCAGTGATGCAGGTAGCAGGGGCTGACAAGGAAAAGCCCCGTGAGCTACAAGCTGGGCACGTTTAAGATCCTTCGACAGTTGGAAATCGAAGAAGAGCAGGCTAATGCCGCTGTTCTAGCATAATTTCCCTCAAAGCACCCTTAATGGCGTTGCCCGTCTTGCCCACATGGTGCAGAATAGTAGGACGTAAAACTCCATTCATTTCATTCATGTTAAAATCCTGCTTATTTTCATACTTTCAAGCAAAGAAGAGTTTGAAGTTCCTTGCACTGACCTACTACTTTTATTAACTTATTAAAATTTATCACAACCATATCTAGAATTCACGTTAATGATATTCTAGAGCTCGTCTACAAATGGTTATTAAAATGCACGATCATAACCTGCAAAAGGATGGGGGTGTTCAGAATGTAAGTTAACAACAGAACACTTTGTGGTACGTACGACATTTTTCTTTTCTTTTTTTTTAGCTAATTCGATTTTAGAATCAGAATGTTGCAGGAATGAAATAATTCGTAAAACAAATTCAAAGTTTGGTCAATATATAGGAAGTATTCGATTAAAGTAGTAAGAAATGAAGCTTGGCAGAAAAAAAACCTTTTGAATCTAGGAAATCGTTTGACGTCAGATTTTAGTAATATATTATAAAGCAATGGAGATTTAAATATAAATAGCAAGTTAAATTATGATAAGAAATTAATCAAAAAAGAAACAATATTAGATTTCGAAACTTTGTTTCATTTAATTCAAAGGATTAACAACCTTCCAACAATAAATCTTTAATTCATTTTACAAGAAGATAGATCACTTTTTGCTCTTCTCTTTGATCTAGGCACCATTCAAGATGGCTGTAGAATTTCGTGGTTTTCATTATGCTGATTATATCGTGTTTGCAATTACGATTATAATTTCGGTTGGCATTGGTATCTACTATGCTTTGGCCGGTAGCAAAAAGAAAACAACATCGGAATATCTTGTTGGAAGCCGATCGATGAAAATCGTACCCATAACCCTGTCCCTTATGGTTAGCTTTGAGTCTTCCATAATGATGTTAGGGTTTCCTGCGGAGATCTACACCTTTGGAATGATGTTTTGGTGGGGTTGTTTTGGATTTTTATTTGTGATGTTGATTGGAGCTCGTATGATAGTTCCATTGATCCATCCTTTGAAAATTACTAGCGTATATCAGGTAAGCGGAGAGTCTTTTTTATTTAAATTATTTACCTCCTTTGCACTTTCATATACCATGACCTTAACTGAAAAATATTAGCTACGTTTTGTCTCACGAGTGCTTATATATAGACACAGCTTTATGGAACAATCACTGGTTTAAGTCTTATACAACGTGTGCCTGAAACACGGAAACACGTCGAAACGTTGCATAAAACTTTAACCAGTGATTGTTGTTCCATAAAGCTGTGTCTATATATCGTACTCACAATTGCTAAATGCCATTCAAAGACTATACGAGTGCTTATAGTTGTTATCTGGGAATAATATTCATATTCATTTGAATTTAATGCTTCAATAGTCCTTTCCCTCAGAGTATATAAGTATTTTTCAAGTTCCCTTACTTGTTAAAAGTTTTCCTCGGTACTCACAAGTTCTGCCTGTGCAGAAATGTATTCAGAACTCCATACTATTGAAAAAACAACTGCAGTTAAAATTTCTCTTTATGTAGTATCTAGATTTAAGATTCAAATCCAGAGCAGTTCGAGCTGTTGGTTCTACATTAGCAGTACTGAATACGGTGAGTAATCATATAAGTATCTCATGATGAGGAAGAATGTTCTATTGTTTTCGTACATCTCCATATACAGTAGGATCTGAGTTGTAGGTCACCTGGTTGTGAAATGGCATCGATCACTACTCTTTATGACTTCAAAAATGGCCAATGGTGGAATTTTGGGAATACATTGTGTGACTGAATCTTAAATCAACTAAAATGAGATGAGTTTGATTTGATTAACACTTGGTAGTTATTTCCCTTAGACATCGATTAACCAACTGAAAGTATTGTTATTTAATTAAACTACACCAATGAATTTTATTTCAGATTTTATACATGGGTGTGGTATTATTTGGTCCTGCAATAGCTCTTCAAGCAGGTAGGCAATTTGTATTGAACGGTTTTGATTCAAAGTGAAATATAAAATTTCAGAATATGACCTATTGCAATGCAAAATTAACTATCTATTTGTGCACTAAAAGCTAAAAGTCTTATTTGGAAATTTATGTTTCTTGTTTTTTTCTTCTAGATAAAACTTGACTTTATAGTCTACAGTAAGTTTGGTTGTGAGACTTTTGTTCTTGCTTTTATCTAATGCTATTTTTATTTTGTTTCAGTAATGGGTTTTCCGTTAGTTTGGTCGATGACAACCGTGGCAGCAGCATCTATGATATATACTACAATTGTAAGATTTTGAATAAAGACCCCGAGTTCAACATTGAAAATATAAATAGTCCGGCAACTCAATATCAGTCTTGAAATAATCATTTCGTATGTTCACATCATGCATCGTTAGAGTTCTTCTCACCAGAAACACATTGCATCTTCTCCGCTTTAAGTATTATTTGTATTATTGACAACCTCGGTTCTTCTTCTAAATGTAACGTAAATGTTTGTATACGTTCAAAGTAAGAAATTCTGGAAGTTCTGGAAAATAACTCTTTCGTCGATGGCAAGTAGTTCTATCTACTTGCAATTGCCTTGCAACGGAATCGGTCAAATGTACATTGAGGGAATAATACTTACTATTTGAATACAGGGTGGCTTTAAGGCAGTGGTCTGGACGGACGTCTTTCAAACTTTAATCATGATCATGGGTATATTTGCTGTTTTAATCAAGGTAAACATGCTTTAATAGTGTTTCTTAATTAAGTCAATTCCAGACAATGTACAATGCGGAAAGGGGAAATCTGAAAAACTAAGCTCACAAGCTTTATAAACCTATACTTGAGACAGGGTCAACTGGTTTTGCTTAAGGTGCGGGAAGACCGGGCGGTCTTGCTCGGAGATTTTTGTCTCCGAATCGAATCTTGAGTAAAATCTCGCGAGTTCCCCTGCTTCCACAAGATCATCGTGTCGCCGACAGGATTTATAATATCAAACAAGTTTGATAATTGTCTCCGATAGTTTTATCATCTGCAAGACAGACCTTAATCGCCCAGTCCGATTCAGTTTTTTTCTTTCAATTGCATGCTCCTCACGTGATTATCGACAAGGTGGAAAACGACCGACTGAAGATTTTTGTCTCCTCGTGTGCCCGTGCCAGTCGTTGAAACTCAAGACAAGACTCTAATCGGCAACAAAAGTCTCCGACCAAGACGGCTCGTATGCCCGCAACTTTAGTCGATGAAAGTTTTCTGACTGATAATGGGATCAAACCAAGAATGTTGATGTAAGCAAGTATTATTATGGGTATTGGAAGACATAACTAATTTTTATTTGACGTCACAATTGAGTATCTTTATACAATTACATCAGATCAATTTAGTATCTGTATCATTTCAAGTAATGATATTAGAATAAAGAAATATTATACTTTTTAATATTTTTAGGGCACGATGGATGTTGGTGGTCCATCAGAAGTGTTTCGACTGGGAAAAGAAGGAGGTCGTTTAAAAATGTTCAAGTAAGTACAGATAATTTTGAGATTAATTGAGATATGAAGTTTCAAAATTAAAATGGTCTCTAGTTTTTGTCCAAGCTCCAATCTGACGGATGTAGTAACCAATTAGGTCTCAAAACAAGCAATGTCTGTAATAAATTTCCTATTAATGCTTCTATCTATATCTAGCTTTAGTCCAGACCCAACAATCCGACATACATTTTGGATCTTGGTTATTGGTATGACATTACGAACAATGGGATTAGCTGTTGGTCAAGCTTCCATTCAACGTATCTCATCAACTCCTACTAAACGTGATGCCCAAAAGTAAGTTTGAATACATCATGCTACATGCACTACATACTATTTTATCTGTACGGGATTAAACATTGCCGAGAGCTTTTTTATTTTAAGCGTCAGCGTGTTTTTTATGGCATATATAAACTGGCAAGGATCTGTGTTAATTTTTCAGGTATATAACATATTATACCTCAATTATAATGAAATAAGGTGCGCTACTCGTTCAGTTCATTAATTAACCAGTGACAGACTTCCTATTTGTTAAGACTTTGAAAATTTGTCAAGTAAATATACACCACGTGCTAAAAAGTCGGAACAAGATTGTTGTAGACAACGGGCGTGGATCTTACTATACCCAGTAACGCAATAACGCAGCGCTCGAACAAACTTTTCTCGTGGTAGTGTCCATCAGAGTTTTTATCCGTTACTTTCGTAATTAAATATAAAATATTACGATATGAAAGAGTCGCTTTCCGTCGAAGGGATGTAACTCGTATCTGCAAACTTAATTCATCTATTGAGCTATTGGAATATAACTTTTAGGGCCATATGCAACGCTCGTACTTTACCTAAACTTTGACTAAACTTAGACTTAAGTCGAACTTAAGGTATGCATCGGTCGATCTTTACGAAAGTCATGCTTAAATTTGACTATCAAATGTAGAAAATGAAAGCCTTAATCCTAACTTTGTAAAGTTCGACATTAGCCGAAGTTCAACTTTAGTCAAGGTAAGAGCGCTGCATACGGCCCTTAGAGTCGTATATATTATAGATAACATCCCTGGGATTTTGATATGAAAATAGGGATAACGTCACTATAGAGGTTTTTATTTTTGATCCACCAGGTAGATATCCTTATAGGCTTCAATAAATCAAAAGTTAAATTTACCTGTATGATCTTTATTTATAAAAATTTGATTTTTTATTATAAAATTCATATCCTCAGAAAGACTTGTTATATGAATTTGTTGTGTCTTATTATGTTATTTGTACTTTTTTACAGACATTTACTTAAAAGAGTAAATGAAGCTTCAATGAATGACTTTCCTTATTATAATAATAAAAAATAACCAAAATATCAAATAAATACAATGTAAATTCTAGTAACGTGTTTGTGTATGTTAAGTTAATTTTTCTTTTACAGAGTGATGGCAATGGTTGGTCCTATGTTTTTCATTACTATGACATTAGCTATGTTGGAAGGCCTGGTAGCCTTTGCCTACTATAGTAAAATAAAATGTGATCCAATGGCTAGTGGACAAATTGACAATGCTAATCAGGTATTGTATTGTTGAAAATAGTAGCCCTTGGATTTTTTTTCAAAGTTTGCTGATGCAGGTTAAAGCTTTTAAAAAAACACAATCTATATCACTTTTTGTGGAATTGAAATAGAATGTCTAGTGAAATAAGCGGATTAGAGATTGTGTAAAGATAAAAATTTAAAGACACCATGATCAAAAATCAATAATCGAATTACGATGGCCTATTGTTTTACGACTGTTTTTTTTTAGAGCAAATTATTGCTTGTAAACCTCATTTCATTCATTTCTGATTACTGTCCGTATGTTTTATTTCTACAATGAAATAAAATGCTAAGGAGAGAATGTGCTGAACCTGTATGTGGCTTATGATGCAAGCGAGCCTTCCCTTTTAATACATCAGAGTACGAAGACGCACAGCAACAAGAAGACGACATATAATACTCTGTGTATGATAAAGTATAATATTTTAAGCTACCTGTCTTTCAGATAATGCCATTGTTTGTCCTGGATTTGTTTGCAAATTTACCTGGTATGCCTGGTTTATTTATGGCTTCACTCTTTAGTGCATCATTAAGGTACTTAAACTTTATTTTTAGTATGGAGATACTGTGATAACTTTTGGTTAATGTAATTATAATAATATAATAATAAGTTTAATTGGAGTAAATGTAATATTAGATATATATTCCCATATTTTCTATCACGTTATTGTGATAAAGTTTATTGTGGAAAATGTAATAACTATTGCCATATCTTCTATCACGTTATTGTGATAAAGTTTATTGTGGAAAATGTAATAACTATTGCCATATCTTCTATCACGTTTATTGTGGAAAATGTAATAACTCTTGCTATATCTTCTATCACGTTATTGTGATAAAGTTTATTCTGGAAAATGTAACAACTATTGCCATATCTTCTATCACGTTATTGTGATAAAGTTTATTGTGGAAAATGTAATAACTCTTGCTATATCTTCTATCACGTTATTTGTGATAAAGTTTATTGTGGAAAATGTAATAACTATTGCCATATCTTCTATCACGTTATTGTGATAAAGTTTATTGTGGAAAATGAATAACTCTTGCTATATCTTCTATCACGTTATTTGTGATAAAGTTTATTGTGGAAAATGTAATAACTATTGCCATATCTTCTATCACGTTATTGTGATAAAGTTTATTGTGGTAAATGTTGAAACGCGATTTCCTAACATTTCCCAGCGAATTTAAGGTTCAAGATTGTTTGTATAGGGTCTGTGGTATGCCGCTTCGAAATTTTCAGAATTAGACGCCGGAAACTCGATTTCTTGATATTTCCCAGCGAATTTATTGCTTATTTGTCTTTTAACAAAGACTGCCGTTAATATATTTAAAAATAAATGTTGACATCTCTTTTTTTAACCCTCCATGGCTACGGGCCTGTGTTGTGATAAAGTTTATTGTGGTAAATGTAACACATATCTTCTTTCATATCATTGTAATAAACATTATTGTGGTAAATGCAATAACTTTTTATATTGTACTTTTCTACTTTAGTACATTATCATCTGGTCTGAGTGCTCTTTCAGCACAAACAGTTGAAGATTATGTCATGCCGTTTATGTCGAAGAAATCTGACAGAGTCAAAACCATCTTAGCTAGAATATCGGGTTGGTTCAACTATTCAATACATAATTATACATTTCAGTAGATAATTGGTTTTCTGTTTCACCCAAGTATATAATACACACACTATCATTAGTTCAAATTATCCCCTAATTTGTAACAACATCCTGGTTCATTCAGTGGGAAATGTCGATCTTATTGTGTTCGCTGTCACTGTCTGAAACCTTTTTTAATATCAATTTCAAGACATGAAAAATGTAGTAGTGAATACAAGCATGAATTATCGACCTAATTCCTATTCAGTTTCTATATTTTTGCGATATTCTATATTTATTATTATAATCAAAGGCAACCAAACTATGTGTAATTGTAGTTATTATTTATGGATTATTGGCAGTAGCAACTTCTATGATTATTTCAACAGTTGGTGGTAACATGTCACAGGTACGTGTTCAGTTATACTAGTTGCGAAAATCACGACACAAATTTGCAATATGGTGTATCAATATATTATAAAACGGAAGTCAAGAGGCCAATAGGAGAGGTGCTGGATTATCGATACAGTAGAAAATAGAAGAAGTTTATTGTGCCCTGAATACCCGATGACACTCTGCAAAGGAGTGTGTTAACTCGGCATCCCTATAATTCACCCAATCCTTAGCTCATAGAGTCCATATTTTCTCTCTCACTTATTTGTATATTTTTCCGCATCGCTTTGTATAGTTACCTGTATTTTTGTGCCTAGAGACTATTGCTTTCCACGAGTGCTTGTGATATTTGAAGAAACCTGATTAACATTTCTGACAAATAACTACTACAGTTGGTTAATATAAAAAAAAGGCTTCAGCATTTAAGCTTTAGATATTATTATACATGTATGTGTATTCTTGGAAATAAATAATAATTAAGTTAATTCTATATTTAGATAGGATTTAGTTTAATGGCATCCTTTGTTGGACCAGCTTCTGGATTGATTTTAGTAGCAGCATTAGTTCCTTTTGTTAACCACATAGTAAGTAAAATATATAATATCATCAAATTTCTTGGTAGCACATTCAATCGATTTTATTGTAATTTATTGTTCTGTTTCATCCTCTAGGGTTTTATAAATTTAATATTAAGCTTCTTCTTGTCAATGATAGCTTTAAAATAGAATTAATTTCAAATAGGGTTTAATTTGTACTTAGAAGAAATCAGTTACTTTTCCTGAAAATACATGACTTTTTACATTCATATTGTTTAAACATTGATTAATTAAGGCATCGTTTAGATTTAGACGTATTTATTAATTAGTTGTGTATACCCCATAATCTTACAGAATGCATAACTGGAAGATGCATTTCCACATTTCCCCTATAAATGATGCTTTTATTCGTATGCTGGCTATGTGGTTCATCCTTGTTCCATTACAGGGTGCCCTGGTTGGTGTAGTTTGTGGGGTTTGTATAACTTTCTGGCTGTCAACAGGATCATACTTGAGCTCATCTTTAATGAAGGAACCAATATTACCACCAGCACCAATAGATAACTGCCCTCTGACTAACTCCACATTATCAGCATACAACTACACTTTACAAAGTATACAAAAAATAGAAGATTTCAAAAACTATACGCCGTTAGTATGAAATCTTTTTTTTACCTTTTTAACTTTTGTTCGTGGTATTTGTTCGATATGGAGACTCAAAGAAGGACTGTCACATTTGCTATCACTAAGGGTGAAGTGCTAAAGAAATCAAGTCAGTATAGGAATCTTTAGATTCATTTTGATGTTAAATTCCAGGGAAGGTATAGACAAAGTATACAGCGTATCCTATCTGTGGCTTGGTGGAGTAGCAGTCTTAATAGTATTTGTTGTAAGCAGTATCGTTAGCTTTATCACAGGTTAGGAACACAATATTTCATTTATTTATCAAAGGGGTTTTTATTGCATTTAAAAAAGAGCAAATAATGAAACATCTACAATGAACAAAACTAGCAACTTCGGTTTAAATGATCTTTCGTGGAATATCTTTACCCATACACGATGGTATCTTCAAAATTTAAATCTATTACGTACTTTGTCTTATACCTTGACTACAACAGCTTTTGCAGCGACTTGAATAGATTGTACGCCAGCGAATACAACCAATCATAGCTCTTATTGCTTTGCTTATTGCAGTCGAGTCAAGAACATTCATCTTTTTTCTAGGTCGAATAAAGCCAGGCGAAACAGAAGCAATTTATACTGTGCCAGTGTTTGATTTGTTTTGTTGTTGCTTCCCAGATTGTATTTTAAAACCGCTTAGATGTGGGGTAGATTATTCCAAGGTAGGCAACAATAAAACAATAGTAAAATGATCCAGTAGTAAGGATAACCAATCAAACCGAGGTCTCGTGTGCTACAGACTTTGTACGTTAATCATTCGACAGTTAAAAATATAAAACGAAACAGCAAATCTGCTTTTTTGTATGCTGTGTAGTTCTAAACCTCTATATTATTATAAGTTTTATTGTCAGAATGTTGGACGTGATCTCCATTTGATTTATGTATTTGTTTTATAAGAGTGACGAAGTATTCTAGAGGAAATCTTCATTTTTATTGTTTGTATCTTTCAGAAAATAAAAGATGATGACAAATATGATGATGTAGAACTAGAATTGGATGAAAACGGGGGATTAATTCGGCCTATCATTAAAATAAATAGCGACTAGGCGGAGAAATTTCTTAAATAGATCACTTTGGCAATGTTCACATTTTGTGTCTATTGTTCACGTGTTGTATCCTTGTTCACATTTTGTGTCTATTGTTCACATGTTGTGTTCGTTTTTCACACGTTGTGTCCATTGTTCACATTGTAATGTCCATTGTTCACATGTTGTGTCTATTGTTCATATTATGTGTCCATTGTTTACATTGTATATCTATTGTTCACGTGTTGTGTCTATTGTTCATATTATGTGTCCATTTTTTACATTGTATACCACAATCAATATAACTAGATTTGCACGATCGATTCTGTATTTGTTGTATCATACCGATGTAGCGTATTGCATATTACCTTCATAATCTATATATCTTCATTTAACGGGTTTGTAGTACAGATTTAAATATTGTTTTTCGAATAGGAAGGGGTAATCCTCAATGAAATAGATAGCACATTAATATACCAATAATAACATAATTTTATTGAATACTATTCCTTAGTTGTATTATAGACAACGTTTCAACGAATCTACATTGTCATCAGGTGAAATGAGGAAGTCTTATACAAAACGCTATATATGTATATAATTGTTGAAACGTTATGAACAATATAAATAAGGGGTTTTGTGAATTGTGTTAAGTTATTTAATGTGATCTCTTCCCCTATATGTCGCCTAAGGTTTACCAATAATAGTATTATAACGAATATCAAAAAGTCCTATTCGAAATATTTTTTTGCACCTTTAGATTTTTCTTCACTTCATTTAATCGCCGTTGAGTTTAACGATTTAAATTAGATGCATTGAATCGACAGTCGACTTTAGCTCGCCAGTAGAGACATATTTCAAATTGGGTGACCTAAATAAAACACAAAAGAATATTCATAATCGTATTTCCACGACAGTCGATCCTTTTGAGTGAAAGGAAATGTCAAAGTCCACTAATCCTGCGATAAGGGTTGATTTAAGTTCCTTCCTTCTAAGAAAACAGATTAATTTATTAAAATTGTGAGTATATCACAAGTTACTAATAATTTGTATACATTGACTCATCGGAATAAACAGAATATACAATATAAGTACTTAGTAAACACATTACTATCTATATGATAGTCAATAGCCACGTTCACAGTGCCAAAAGTTATCCGAACCGGGTACGGTTCATTTTCATGACAGTGTAACAGCGGCTAATGAATATTGTATTGGAAATTTTAAGAAAACATATAGATAATAAATTTTTTTTCTGAAATTGAACGTCAGGGCCAAACGCGTTTTGTTTAGAGTCTTGATGCCATTGACTAAGTGGTAAGGGTTTGTTCGATTAACTTGACCAAAAAGTAATTGGATCGTAAAATTGAAGACTTGTACTTTGATATGGTAGCTATGTTTAAACTGATACAAACACTTTGAATAAATAACAATCAAGAATTTATACATTCTCTACAACTATAACATCTTCCTCTAATCTCTAACAATATATATATATATATATATATATAAAGATATAAAGCCTGCCGCAGACGAGAGGAACTAGCCGAGCTGACTGCCTCGAGAGGCTGTCACTGTCAGCTGAGCAACATTCTCATTACTTATTTCGCCACAGACGAGAGCTCTTGCCTGAGCTATTGTCTCACTAGAAAATCTTCGACGAATTCCGTACGTCAACGTAAAATATACCATAAAGCAATCTTTTGACTGATATAATTTATACAATTTAACAATGTAACTTTATTCATAAACTTCTTAAATATAATACAGTCGAATATTTATAATTTGATAACTTATTCTACGTTAAAAATATACAATGAACGCAATCTTTAGACTGACATATTTTATACAATGTAACTTTATTCATAAACTTCTTAAATATAATACAGTCGAATATTTATAATTTGATAACTTATTCTACGTTAAAAATATACAATGAACGCAATCTTTAGACTGACATATTTTATACAATGTAACTTTATTCATAAACTTCTTAAATATAATACAGTCGAATATTTATAATTTGATAACTTCATTCTACAAGTTCAAAATATACAATGGTAGGAATCTTTTGATTGATATATTTTATACAATGTAACTTTATTCATAAACTTCTTAAATATAATACAGTCGAATATTTATAATTTGATAACTTCATTCTACAAGTTCAAAATATACAATGGTAGGAATCTTTTGACTGATATATTTTATACAATGTAACTTTATTCATAAATTGTTTGAATAAAGAATAATCAAGAATATATAATTTGGTATTACAGTATACGATAGTAGCAATCTTTTCTCTTGAAATTAAATGCGTTTCATTAAATCCTCTCAAGTAAAATCCGTTTCATTACGGCGATGTGAAGTTATATTTAAAACTATTTTTATAAAATATGTATTTCACGAGAATTATGATGTTGGTTTGGGAGAAAAGTTATAAAATGCATACGTTCTAAAGCAAAATATCAATGATAAAGGGATGTTCACAGTCTTAAGGCACGAAACGAACATATAATTATTATATTAATATACAATAAAATTTAAATAAAAATAAAAGGGTGAAGGTACATGTGACATTTGAAATCGGACTGTTCTTCTGATCAATTAAATAAAAATAATTCTGTAATTTACATTATAAACTCTTAAAACAACCATAATTGATTTTGATTGACAAATTGACAAAACTTGTATCTGAATAGTATATTTATATAAAAAGATAAGTCTTATGTTTGACCTTCAAATTTTGTAAGCCGCTCTACTAATATTATAGAGATAGATTCGCTATTTTCGGACATGGATTTGAGTCTAAAATATATGTAAATAGTCTTCAGAAGCACTAGAAATGTTCGAAAATCGCTTAAAATCGCTAATATATCTCAAATTAGGAATTTCACTATCTATTTCTACACTTAATGTATTTGTATATATATGGAAGAGTCTTAAGAAATGACAAGTCGTCATCTAACATTCAAACGCGGATAATTCTGGACACACAAGGATTTGAAGGCTCAAATTTCGACAGAGAGCTATGACCATACTAATAAGCTTAGATGAAAAAATTCCCATTTCTGAGACTAAGTAAGAATGGTCAAACAGATGGCGAACTTGTGTCTTTAATTCACCAAAATTAGTCCAAAATATCATTGAGAGAAATGTTACAACACCTTTTGTTTCAGTTTTTATATTGAACGAGTCGTGTCTTATCAGAAGGCCAAAGGCAAGACAAGTCTTTGAGTAGCTGTCTTTTTATAACTGAGAATATTTGATGAGCGTTCTCCTTCGTGAAGAATTTTCATTATATTATATCTCTTAATAACATAATATCCGTTTCAATAGCAACCGAAATGTTTATCAGTAAAATTGAATTGAGTACATAGTCATCAAGCTATATGCTTGCGTAGATAGATAGATAGATAGATAGATAGATAGATAGATAGATAGATAGATATGACCCTAAAATGGTATGTCATTGGACTACATCCTACAATAGTGTTTCCACCAATTGTTGTTAATAATTACAATTGAAGTGGTTAAACATCCTTATAAATCTATTTCCTCATTCACTATTTGGTATCTATATTTCTTTATTTTTAAGTTTCAATATAAGATAGCGAAACTAGGTACTGATCTACTATGACAATAAACTTTGGCAAAGTCAAAATAATTTTACTTCCTAGTTCACACTATTGAACATGGCGTTGAAAGTTACGCTGTGTGTTTTTGTAGGAGTGCTGTTTCACCAAGCTATTTGTAAGTTAATTTACTTAATATTTTGAAGACAGAAGAAATTAAACAAATGTAGCATTTTAAATGATCAGACAAGATTTCACGATTTTACATAAATTATATTTTGTATTGCCTTAGACATAATTGTCGAAAATCAATGTTTGATTTGTTGAGACTGGTAACACTGTATAGGTCATAATAAGTATTGTATTAACCATGTCAAGTGTTATGCTTGAAGATAGAAAATACGGTTAGGAAAGTCGTAAAATGTGTAACAATACATAAATATTCAATTTAAAGCACAATGCCTAAAAGTTCAAAAACAAGTTTTAGTCTACTCCATCAAAAATAAAACTTGGAAATATCCACGAATCTTGTTTTAGTTTCTTGTTGTTCATTGTTGTGTTTGTTGAGAGTGGGCGAGAGCGGGGAAGGTTGATCGAAATATTTATAAGGGCAAGAAATGTGAGACATTTCATTTCAAGAGCACATTGCCAAACCAACATGTTTTCATGCGGTTTTCGTGTTTTTCAATGTTCCGAAGACATACAGATAATTGTCAACTAATAAAACTAGAAGTAGTATATCCATATAACTTGTGTTCTTAATTGTCAACTAATATTACTTAATTTTATAACTTAACTGATTCTCGTCCTCTATACTCAAAATTCAACCTAATTTTGGTCTTATTTATTTCTTTTATGGTGGAAATAAAGCTAATCTCTGTGAGTTTCTACATGCCCTGGGCACATTAGTTAAGGCTTGAACGACTAAATTGAAACATTTGGTCAAATGGTTGAAGACAGTACTACTTTAAAGTATGGTATAGTTTAACCCTTTAACATAGATAACAATGTGTTGACCACAAACACCGGATCTTATCATATATATTATTCACGTATAAATCAAGTTGTATGGAGAAGTAATATTTCTTTAGGCGACTAAGATTTTTGATTGTTAATTGGACTAAATTTGTGTCATGCATTTGTAATATGCTGCAAAAGAAGTTTTGACTTTGAAATTATACTTTTCGTAAAATTGTAAATACCTTTTTTAAGCGTATTATAAATGTTCTTCATAATCAATTGCATTCGTTTCATACAGTTGATAATACTTAGTTGTTTATATCTTTACAATATGCTGCGACTCCTTCACTTTTTTGCAAGTTAAGTGACTACAAAATGTATAATATTCATCTTTTTTAGAGTTAAATGCATCATGTACTTTAATGTATAATATTTGTCCTTTTTTAAAAGTTAAATTCATCATGTACTTCAATGTATAATATTTGTCCTTTTTTAAAAGTTAAATGCATCATGTACTTTAATGTATAATATTTGTCCTTTTTTAAAAGTTAAATGCATCATGTACTTTAATGTATAATATTTGTCCTTTTTTAAAAGTTAAATTCATCATGTACTTTAATGTATAATATTTGTCCTTTTTTAAAAGTTAAATTCATCATGT